GCGATTAATCGCATCCAAAATAAAAGTTTTTGTTCGCATAATATATATGTGTTTATTATGTATATATAAATACAAACACATGCATGTATATATTTAAGAAAACTATGTTATGTTTATATATTAAATATATTTATATATAATATCAAATATAAGAATATGAGTATATAAGTGTATAAACGTAAATATTTTCAAAATAAATACTGTATGTGTGTGTATTTATATATACATAATAAATAAAAAAAGGTAAACATACATATATATAATGTAAACAAAAACTTTTATTTTGGATGCGATTAATCGCGATTAATTGTCCTATATCTTAACAAACCATACATCAATGGAAAGCTTATTTATCCAGCTTCCAGAGGATGTATAAATCTCAATTTAAAAAAACTGACCCTTATGACTGGTTTTGTGGCCCCGGGTCACATTTATGCGCACATGTGACTCATAAAATGAACGTACGCACATACGCCTCTCTTTCAGATGTGAAATCTCTGAATCGCAAATGATCTTGAACTTCAATCTGAATGGTTTCAGCTCTCTGCCTTGTAAACGCCTCTTAATTAAAGTCATTAACATGTAAAAGATCACCAGTCATCGTCCAAATTCTTTAATTCAGAGCTGCAAGAACAGCGTACATTTTCAAAAACCTGCAGTACTCCGACAAGAATAAGTGTGCACGTCTGCTCAGACCCTGACGTGAAGCGAAGCACTTTTCCCCGTCAAATATGAGCGCAGGCGTGGAGTTTAGCGTACGCACGCTCTAAGATCAAATCTGAGCGTACGCACGCTTTATAAATGAGGCCCAATGTGTAGATCATTTCTTAGAAACTCTAGATCATATTTTTAGTGAAAATCAGAGCAAACACCAATCTGTGAGACTGAAACCCTGTAAACTCTGCTAAGAATGCCAAATAATAACCTTATTCAGCAGGGTCTATATAGGATGTCATAGGTGATCAAATAAATGGTTAACACTTCCTTTTAAGCACCAATTCTCATTCTTAACTATATTACTAGCATATTGGCTGGTTGTTAGTACTTATAAAGCAGATATTAATGTCTTATTCTGCATGCCCTTATTTTAGATCCCTTAATTTTAACAACTACCTTACTAACTATTAATAAACAGCAAATTAGGAGTTTATTGAGGCAAAAGTCATAGTGAGAATTGGTCCCTAAACTTAAGTGTGATCAATAAAGGTTTAAATGGGCTTTATTTTAATCATTTTGTTACGTAATGACCATGGTGTAAAGGCAATAAGCACTCAAGACTGTACTTTATAGTAAATTATGAGTAAATGTTGAGCACAACAACATCAATTTGCCATGATAGCATTATAAATGCAATATATTTTCTTTCTTTTTTTGTGTTTTACTTCTTTTGATGAATGTTGTCTCTCACGCCTCTCACTGGTTTCTAATGCCATGTCTTATCTTTATCACTATCTTTAGCTATCGGTTTCATTTTAATCTGACTGTCTGTTCCTTCTCATTTTTTGATATCTACTCCAAGCATATGTTCATTAAATGAATTTTAAGGAACTATTTGTTATTTTCACATAGCATCAATGTTTTGGTAAATACTGAGGTCATTATGAATTATGAAACATCGGTTTACATTTGTGTACTAGTCTGACATGTTTTTTGTTGTTGTTGCAAGGATTCTAGAACATCCAGTTAAGTGCTCTAACATTCTGGAATATTCTGTAACATTCTAGTGCTTTCTGGAACATTCCAGAACATTATGGGACTAGCCATAAAAGACAAAAATCATCCAGCATGCACTTCTGAAGTTTTGGACGACTCACTTTTGGTTAATGTTAAACTATAGTTCTTAGCTTAGTATTATGCATGCGCCATGTCATTTTTATTAACAGATTAGCTTGTATAAGCTGTCAACATATATTTTGTAGTTTTCAAGGGCACTGTTAATGAAACACACAAAGTAATGTGATTTTTGTATTTAGCATGTCAAGCGTTATAAAGAAATATTAAAAACAAAATTTGTTTCACTGTGTAATTACTCATTCTTTGTTGTCTGCAATAGTAAACTATGAAATAACACAAATGGAAGAGTGAAATAAAGTTAAACAGATCAAACCTATCTTATATTTTCGCTCACCTATATTACAGCTCATGCACACTCAGGAATTTCTACAGTATGTATACAAGCCACTTTTTGGCTGTTTTACCTTCAGATCCATATCCATTTAAAAAATTTTTTTACATGTAGCCTATTGTATTGTATATACAAAATATAGTCAGAGCATTTAAGCTTTTAGATCAAAGAGGTTTTAAAGATAATGAGAAACGCCAGTTGTATTTTCTTTCCACACTTGTTTTTAGCAAATATGTTCTTACAAAGTAAATTACACAAACACATGTATGTGTATGTCTATGTATATTTCTAACTCTAACTTGGGTAAGATGTTAAAAGATATGTGCCGCTGAGAAACTAGCTCACACAGAAAAAGGAAGTGGTCAAGTCTTTTGCAATAACATTCAGCCTCTACTACAACTTAAGCCCACTCCCATGAGATGTTTAAGGCACTTAAAGATGATACACAGCAAGCAGATGAATCCGCTCACGTCAAGCGCACAAATCAAGTCACACAACTGAACACCTTACATGGAAATGAGCCATTTCATGCTTCAGTGTTGCTTAATGCAGCAATGGGGCTATATAAGTGCCACAAACCATAAACATAAATGCAGTACACTCTATCAGCATTGCAATGTTTTTTTTTCTTTTCTTTTCATTCTGCTTCATTTTTTTTCTATAGAAATATACATAAATGTTCCCATTATTACCGATAATGAGAAATTAAGTCGATGAAGTATTTGTCAAAATGCCAAATGAAGCAAACAGAAAATACATCCCCTAGCCTTTTTACTCACTAAAAAGCAACCTCAAACACAAGCGCTAATACAAAACCTCAGGGCCTCGTGTTCATGCATGAAAAAGAAGCAAGTCTGAGAAGATTCATCAAATTCAACCGCAAAAGATTCCATAAAGAAGAAGCCAGATTGGCTGAGCAAGAAAAGGTCAGTGTTATTGTAAGCTAACAGCAAAATGCAAGGTTTATAATGGAAAATGTGGTTGTAGCTTTGTGTTAAATCAGTAAATGCAGCGAAGCAGCACAATGACTTTAATAAAACATGTCTAGCTACAGAGACGTGTGCCACTGGTTAGATGTGCACGTTTTAAATATATAATTTACTACTCGTAAATCATTGGCATTTTTGTGAGCTATTATAAAATGTATTTTATTAAGGTGTTTTATTAAGCCAAAATGGTGGAATAATAATAGCATGCCCTATATTAAGATATAAATAGGTTGCTCTAATGATCTTTTAAGTAAGTTTGGCTTTGTGTAAGATACTACTACTACTAATAATCAACAAACTCTGGACAATAATTTATATATACTGAAAAGTCTAAGAGCAATAGTGAGAACACTTCTAAATTATACAGTTCTTTCATTATAAATTATATTAGAACATGGTAACAATGCAAGTAAAATGTTTCATGAATTTCATAATTTTGCAGTATTTGTTATGTTTGTCATAACACCTTTCTCGTAAAAGTTTCGAAACCCTATAACCTTCTGTTTTTTCCTTCTTAATTATATTTTGAACACTCCGGAGTGATCTACAATTTAGACATTTGGAGCTCACTATATATAAAGTTTAGTTTATATGATGTGAAAAACATCGATGCAAATATTCAGGATTTTTATATGCAAATCATTAATGAATTAGTGTTGAATTATTAACATACATTAAACACATTTATATTTAATCCATAATCACAAACTAATAATTGCCTTCTTTAAAAGAAATATCGGACCACATCTGAGAAACATCTGATATTCTTGAACAGCTTTGCTTTTTGCTTTTTTACTTCAAAGTAACTAAATAATGCCAGATCAGGTAATGCCACAACAAAGTGAGATATTATACAAATAATTTCAATAGTTTCACTAGAACTTTTGCCTTTTATTTTCATGATTCCATATCAATATATTAAGATTTACTAGTAGAATATTTAATATGATGCATACTGTTACTGTTTCTAATACAACACTGAATATGAAATAAAAAATACAATTTTAATTGTTTTTTTTTTCTTTTCATCATTCACTTAATTGGTTTAATTCACGCTTAATTCACTTTATGTTCACTTCATGTTCAGTTTAACATCATACTTGAGCACAAAATCTGATGCACTACATGAACCTTATATTCTTACCTTACAAAGTGTCCGACTCTCCTCACTTTGGACAGTGACTACACACCATGTTCAAATTGCTGTCGAACTGAACAGGATGTGGTATGACCAAAAACTCAGTGGATAATTTAAAAGAAGCTTCCAGTTCAAGAACACCAGCGCTTAGAGTAAACTGAAACTGAGCGAATACTGGTGTACTCAAAAGTTTTTCACCTTTGTGTTGCTGTTATTGTACTGACACAAACTTTTCTACTATTTGTAGACTTCCTCATTTTGAGAAACTTCTGCCTACTTCCTTCACTATTTTTTTTTGTTCTATATTTGACTTCCTGAGAACGAAAAGCAGATATTTAGTCCAAGGAGTTGCCCAAGGAATAATCCATGAGATTTACTAAAATGTTCATTTTGCATTACAGTTCATAACATTCAAAATATACTGGAAAAAAAAGGTTTTCATAATTAAATCAAGCTGATTTTGTATTAATCAGTACATTCGGACCAAACAATCCTCCTAATTAGCACACATCTATTGAGATAATACTTTAACATGATAACAAGTAAGCAATGCTTTGCATAACATTTAATAAAAACTTAAATCAATAACTGAAGCATGCAAGTCACAACCTTCGCATAAACAATAATAACCCATAAAATAACGCAGAAACTACACTGTAAATTAACATGTTTAATATGTGCAAGGTTTATAATCAGTAAACTAGCAGGAAGAGCAGATGTGTTTGCGGTTCAACCCAGCTGTGATATTATACAAATTTAATTGTTTACTTTTGTTCACAATGTTCTGCATTATATCTGAATGTCAGTCTGTGACTATCACACTTTTAAAATACATGTTGTTTTGTATAATTATAATAAATGCTAAAATAATAGATCTTATGCTACAAATGCCAACACAGAGGGTGTTTCATCCTAGCAACAGAGAGAAATGCAGAGTTGTGCCACAAACAATCATCTGAGAATTTCGCAACAAAGTGACATTTACTGCAAAACTCTGAAACCTGGATTTTACGCTTCATGATATGTGGGGAACAAATGGTGGAAGCAATTCATTGTCTTTCTTTCTTTCTTTCTTTCTTTCTTTCCTGGAACATGCACTTGAGGTTAAAGTACAGTACCTGTCAAATGTTTGGAAACATTATGATTTTTAAATGTCTTTAATGAAGTCTCTTATGCCGGGTTCAGACTACACAATATTTTTGTCGGTCACGGGGCATTATGCTCACCAAGGCTGCATTTATTTAATAAAACTGTAATTCTGTCAGGACCACTATCGTCAGTGTAACTTACGATTAGCATTAATTTGAGGTTGGGGGAATGGTTCTGTTCTGGGCAAACACTCCCTGCCCATCCATGCAGCCTAGTATTACCATTTATCTTCTGTAAAATGTAATTTATTGCTGTGATGAAGCGCTGAATTTTCAGAATCATTACTTCAGTCTTCAGTGTCACATGATCCTTCAGAAATCATTCTAATATGCTGAATGGAGAATGCAGTGAGTTTATTAGTAATGTCAGTTTGTGAAGTTTCATCTGCTCTCAGGAGGGGGCAGCACAATGCTTCAGAACAACTGAAACTCGTTCACAGACCACATCTGTTATACCAATAGACGCTGTGGTTAGCAGCCGTTTATTTTCATAAACTGATCAAAGATGATTTTATCAAACCCACATGTGCTGTAGTTTACACTTGGGTCTGTTATCATTTTACTGTTTGAAATGTGTAATGCAATCAAATATTTTACAAAAAGAAAGGAAGTTTTATTTTAAAAGAATCGTATCAAAAGTTTAATCTGTTTAGATTGTGTTTAAAAACTCATTAAATTTGAAATTCCTGGTCATCCATTAAGCATGGGCAAAAGTCAGCTCTAGGGAGTGGCAGGGGTAAATAACTTGGTACTTACTGTATATTGTACACATACTTATATGTACCAAACTTGTACTCATCAAGCTGGACAATTTACAAATGGCACTCATTAGCTCTGCCCAACAAGAAGGCCATTATGGGTTTTGTGAAAATCACATAAACTTGGCCAACGTTATGCCAAGACACTAAAGATGCTAAATTATGAACAGATTTTTGCCATATTGAGCTGTGTGTTTGGTTATGGGGGCTGACCACAAAATCTGCAAAAACAAAAGTAAAATTTTAATAAAGTCTTTGAAAGTTCATCATGCCTCTTTGTATGTTCTTAGGAAAAGTTTAAACTTGCAGTTTTGTACTGATGATCAAGAACTTTTTTTTTTTTTTTTTTGGATGTCACTCATAGAGGTTGACTCTATGCCCTCCGCACTGTTGGATCTGTCACAGAAACTCAGATTTGCATTGATAACCCCTGTGGAAAATCTGAAGCACTTGTCCATCGGCCTTTCAGAGCTAGATTGAGAGCTACACTGTAAAAAATGATCGTGATTTTAACGGTAAAAGACTGTAGAAATGCCACAGTAAAAACCTGTTAAATGATTAACAGTAAGTTTCCTTACAATATACGGTAATAACTGTAATAGATCTAACCTTTGTTTTCGAGAAAGTAGCCTCAGAGTCAACACTCATAGACTGTGTCTGAAATCACACCCTACA